GGGTAAAAGAAACTCCCTGGTAGGCCAAAGGCCGAAGAATTAGTAGCTCACGGGATACTCAGACTTCTCCCAGGTATGATCCCTTGTGCGGGTACCTCACACTTAGTTTCAGCCACCTGCATGCTTTTGCACATGCCTATTGGCTTTGACTCCATGCTCCTACTCCTACAAAACACAAAAATAATACTACAAAATAATAAAAATAAATTAAATAAACAAAAATAAAAGAAAGTAGTAAAGCCGGGTTGCCTCCCAATAAGCGCCTCATTTAACGTCGCGACACGACGTAAATCACTTTTTGCCTCCACCTTGAACTTATGAATTGTACCCCTAACATGGCATCCAGTCCGCGGTTATGCTCCATTGGTGGGGCTACAATGATAACCAGGCCAAGTAATAATTTTTTCACTCTGCACTTCAAGGCCTTTAGATGAGGAATGTAATTTTTGCTTTTTGGCACAACAAATTCAAGAATATAGGCACTCTCATCCTCACCTTTTGACTCCTCCATTGGCTCAGATGGCTTGATTAATATCTCACTCTCTAAACACAATGTGGAAAAATGATTGGAATGAGGTCTAATGCGCCTTAACTCATGAATTTTACTACTATTTGCATCCCCATATTTACACACACTCAAGTCTCCCAAAGTAATGTTATCTACTCCCTCACATGACTCTAGAGCACTCTTCTCAATATTGGCATCCTCAAGAAAAATATGGTCTAGTGATTGGTATTCTCGTTTTAACTCCTCAATTTGGTCTAGAAGATTTTTTTCAGCTTCACACAACTCAATATTAAATTGTTGGGTGTTAAACGCATCAACCTTTGCACTCAAATCTGCATCTAAGTTATGTACNTTTATTTTTGTTGTTTTGGAATTCAGGTTTGTTTTGGTTTATAGGGTCAATTAGCTAAGTGCCCTGATTCAATTATTAGCTTATGTTTTAAATTAGGATATTTATTTTAGCTAGGCTGCTTTGACTAAGTTTCAGTCAATTGATTTTTAATTTTTGAATGATTTAAGAGTTGAAAAGGTAATAACAAAAGTTTAAGGGGTTTAATTGAAAACCAAATCAGGGAGTCCAAGTATAGAATTGCCTAGAAGGTTCTAGGAGATTCTAGAAGGGATTAATTTGTAATCAGACAACTGAAATTAGGTCAGATTAGGGTAAAAGGGTAATAATAAGAACTTAAAGGGGTTAATTTGGAAGTTAAAATGGAGAAAAATATCAGAAGGTTCTAGTATTGGACAGCTGTCCCTCTTTATAGTGTAAAAATGCTGAATTTGGGTAAAAGGACAAATAGCTGTACCGAATCTGTTAAAAAAATGTTGTACTATCTGACATTTCTCAATTTAGGGTAGAATATTCCCTTTTTATGCTTATCTTTGTGCATTCTATATAAGGAATAGACCACCACTCACTCATACAGACGTTCATTAGCATATTCACTCTAAAAGAATTCTCTGAATACACACAAGAAAAAGGAAAAGCTCCCTGCATTTTCTTGCCCTCAAAAATCAGCTTTTATTAAAGTTTCTATACTGGTTCACTCTAGTACTGTTTTATTCTGATTCTTGGAGAGTTCAAGTTAGCTGTTGCTCTTTGGTTTTGGCTGATTTCCTGCTGTGTTGCTTGTTCTTGCTGCTGTTTCCTTTCTAGCTTCAGCCAGAGTTTCATTTTTGTTTCCCTTTGGTTTTTGCTGCTATAGGTATGTAGTTCTCCATCTAGGATCATTCATGTTGATGTTCATAAATGAGATATGATGTTTTTTCCTGATTAGTGTTGTGTCTATTGCTCCAGCCTATTAGCTTTGAACTTGTTTCAAGTTTTCATTTGTTATTCAATGAATGGTGCCATGGAACTGCTTCTCTGAACTTTCCGACCACTTAGTTTTCTTAAAATGATATTTGATATTTTTGTGTCATGCTTGTTCTCGGTCCTGCATCATGAGTTGTGATGATTTGACCATTTTCATTAGTACTATCTACTGTTTTGTACTCTTTTGAAGTATTGTGCTAATAAGACTTCTTCATAATGAAATTTTCACTTCCTGATTGTATGTGGAGTTTTTTTTTACAAGAGAAGGAAAGCTCTGAAAATATTTGAGTCCTCGTTAAGGAGCAAAGTGATGACTTGCAAACAGCTCTGTAGCTGCTTTTGTAGTTCAAGACCTGCTTGAAAGGCTGTAACAAGTGAAAGAGCCCAGAATTATGTTGGTTGCTATTTTGATAATAGAAGTTTTTTTAAGCATAGTGCCATATCTAAGATTTTCTGTAACTTAGATTTAGGGATTGTATTTCTTGTTGATCGCAGTGTTAATGTTCCAAATAATTTGGGACTTCATTTTGTAAAGAACAAATTTCTTACCTTCTCCAAATTTGCAAGATGTATAGCTTTTCGATAACTCCTAGGAGATAGTGATAGGAATAATATGAAGGATCATTTTATGGACCAAATTCTATGGTTTCCTCTGCCACTCTTGAGTGAAAATACTACTAATGGAAACAGCTTGATGCCGAATTCCTAGAGGATTTCCAAAGAATTCCCATATATGCCTCGCGGCCTCACTATCAATGAAAACATGATGCAAACTATCAGATTGTGGGTTGTTACAACAGTTGCACCTTGGCGCATGTTGATTGCCAAACTTTCTAATGATGTCATCAAAGGGGAGCTTTTTTTGGATCATTCTCCAAACAAGGAATGACATTTTGAAGGGGATACAATCATGTCATAGTTTGCTCACAAAGGGATTTCTCTGATTGATAGTTCTAACAATGTGCCAGGCCGATGCATTAGAATAATGTCCATTCTCTGTGAGTTCCCAAATGGCTTGGTCATTATTGTTCTGCTTCCCTCTAGAAATGGTGCTGATATGATGAACAATATGGGTGGGCAGGAGTTGCTCCAATTTGTGCGTATTCCACTCCTTGTTCCTGAAAAAATGAGAAACAAGAAGCTTACCAGAAAAGTTAGTGTGATTGACCACTTTATCAAGTGGTCCTTTACTTGTCCAATTGTCCCACCAAAAGCTACAGTTGCCTGTGTTAATATTCCAAATGATATTATTTTCGGCAATGTTTCTCGCATGAAGAAGAGCTTTCCAGGATTGTGAATTGCCAGAGCCAATAGCCTTGTTAACAGGGTTAGACCTACTACAATATTTAGCCTTTAGGTAGTCAGCCCATCGGGAAGGACATGTTCTGAACCTCCACCATCTCTTAATATTGCACATTTCATTGATGTCTTCCATTCTTCTAATTCCGATACCACCCTCCTCTTTAGGAACACAAAGCTTTTTCCAAGAACTCCAATAAAACTTATTTTTATCACCAGTGGAACCCCAAAGGAATCTTGCAAAGTGCTTTTCAATCAGATTAAGGGTAGCTTTTGGAGGGTTCATGGCTGAGAGGGTGTGTAGTGGGAGGGATTGTAATACATTCTAATAATGACTACTTTACCTCCGTAGGATAACAATCTTCCTTGCCAGCCACTGATATTTTAACAATTTTAGCAACCATCTCCTCAAAGTAACAGATCCTCTTCCTTCCAACATATATAGGGCACCCCAGATAATTGATAGGAAACTGTTTATCCATGAACTTAGTGACTTCTCTGATTCTATTGATTCTTCTAGCCTTGGTATTTGGAGCAGCTATGAAGAAACTTTTTTTTGCATTGAGCTTCTGACCGGATGCCTTTTCATATTTGTGAATCTGTTCCATGATCAACTTGATTGTCTTGTTGTTTCAAGTTGAGAAAATGATAATGTCGTCTGCATAGGCAAGGTGATTAATCCTAGGTCCTTTAGTTGGCATGGTGAATGGAGTGAATTTTTCATTCTCATGGAGCTTGTTGAGCATTCTAGTCAATACTTCCGATCCAAATATGAATAATGATGGAGATAGAGGGTCTCCCTGTTTCAACCCTTGGGAGGAAGTAAGGAAACCATTCCTAGTGCCATTTAATATGATGGAATACCAAACATGGATAAGATCCTCTGAGTCATGTTGATCCATTTCTCAGAGAAACCAAACTTCCTCATCACAGCATTGATGAACTCCCAGGACATTCTATCATAAGCTTTTTCCATATCCAATTTAATAATAATATTCCCTCCTTTGTTGTAGCTGTTGATCCTCTGGATGATTTCCTGAGCAAGGAGGACATTTTCCATGATCAGTCTATCCTTGACAAATCCGCTTTGGTTATTAGAGATCAACTTAGGCAAAAGAGAGTTCAGCCTTCTCGAAGAATCTTGGAAATAATTTTGTTAGAGACATTGCTAAGACTAATAGGCCTTAGATCAGAGAAGGTCTCCGAAGCATCAGTTTTGGGAATAAGGACCAGACAGGTATGAGAAAAATACTTCGTGATCTGAGCTCCATTGAGGAAAGCCCGAACAAATCGAGTGATATCCACTTTAATAATATGCCAACAACTCTGATAAAAGGCTCCGTTGAAGCCATCCGGACCAGCAGCACTATCAGTGGAGATGTTGAATATAGCCTCTCTTATCTCCTCTTCTGTAGGCATCCTGGTCAAGTAGTCATTATCTTCCTCAGTAACAATTTTGGGGATACAATCAATGATATCCATGTTGTGATCCTTCTTAGGGAGATTAAAGAGCTTTTCATAGTGGTTAATAGCAGCTTTCTTAATACTTTGCTCACTTCTCATCCACTTTCCTCTATGATTTTTGATTATGTGAATCTGACACTTCCTTCTTCTTTCTCTAATAACATTGTGAAAGTATCTAGTGTTACAATCGCCATCTTCAAACCATTGAATCTGGGCTTTCTGTTTAAGTAAGGATTCTTGCATAGCTTGCCATTTGATATACTCAGCTTGGACTTTGTTGAGGTTTTCTCTGCTCGTCTCTGTATTACACAATTGATCCAGCTCTTCAAAGGCTTCCACTTTTTTTTTTTTTCCATTTGTTCACCATATCATAGATATTACCAATATTTTCTCTGGACCATTTTGAGAGCTTGTTGCTAAGAATTTTCATCTTTTGATGCAGAGTCCACATAGGATTACCCTGAATAGGAGTGTCCCAGACTTCTTTAACCAAGTCTTGGAAACTTGGCTGCTTAGTCCAGAAGTTAAGGAATCTAAAATAACTGATTTTCATTGATTGGTTGACGTTGCTTTTGAATAAAAGAGGTCTATGATCTGAGCCTAACCTGTTGAGATGATTGACAGTATAGTTCTGAAATAGGTGAGCCCAGGTGTCGTTGATGAAGATCCTATCAAGTCTCTTCCAAAATTGTTTCCTTGGTCTCCAGTTATTGCACCAAGTGTATTTAGGCCCAATAAAACCTATGTCTACAACCTCACAATGGTCCATACAGTTAGTGAAATCAAAGCTTCTTGACATTCTATGGGGGGTACCTATCGCGGCCTCTTTTTTCTTGCGAAATCGGGTTCATGACGTTTTGATTGGGACAACTCTTTCCTTTTGGAAAAGGGATTTGCATTTTGGAAGAGTCGTCACCTAATGATTTAAGGTGCGTTAGGTCACCTATAGGGTTCATTTATAACTGCGTTTGGTAACCAGAGATAGGGTAAGGGCTTGAAATTATCCTAAGGGGAAGGTGTTAGGCACCCCTCAGGATCCACTAGTATGGTTCCCGGCCAAACAGTTTTATCTGAATTTGTACAATTATCAAATAAACAAGTATGGATCAAATAGTAGGGGATTTATGTTTAAATACACATGTGTTTGAAAAAAAGCAATTAAAAAAAAAGCAAGATTTTGAAAAGAATTACAATATAAGCATGTTCGGGAATGTAAAGGGTATCCTAGGTTTGTTTGTAATATGGATCACATCAATGTAATACCCGGTATGACACTCCTATAAGAGGGGCTACACGTGGTATTAACGCACCGGTCATCATATCCATATCTACCCTTTCCCGCCCCGTGAAGGTAATTAAAGCGAGGGTTGGTCTCGACCCCTATTGCATGCTGTTACCCGTCCTTTCCTATAATCCTGGAGGAGTTTAGGATTTCTATCCTATGAGGGAGGTTCTAGGCAGACCCTCAGGTTTAAAGGCAAAATACTAGGCGAAAAATAAGAACACATAGGACCGAATTTAGGGGGGAGAACACAGAAAACAGATAGAAGGCTCAGATATACCTCCACAAGTAATGCACATAGGCAGCACGACTCATACACAGATAAGGTCCACATTTGAACTCAGAATCCTAAAGCATGGTATCTAAGTGATTTTAAAACATAACAGAGGCAGATTTGATCTGTAATTCAGAAAAGGGGTCCTACTAAGTTTTGCCTACTGATTTTAAACCAGTTGATAATTAAGTAGCATACATAAAGAAGCATGTTTCCAGTTCTGACAAAATTTAGCACCTAAGGCTTGCCTAGGTGTAAAACAGTGTTCCAGTTATCAGGGTTACTTAGAAAAGACTGTTTGAATTGTATTACTAAACATGCTGTTCTAAATGTTCAGAATTCCGAAATTATTACCAGCTGGGTTAATCCATTTTCTATCAATAATTAAACTAGAGATGCCTAAGCGGATGTGGATGCAACTCTAAAGGCATGATATCTAATGCACAAAAAATGCAGAGTGATGTATATGCAGGACCTGAGCAGGATATTTTTTTAAATGCATATGTGTTACATACTTTTAGAATATGCAGAAGATATGGAGATGACCTGTTTATTAGCGTTGCTTTTATCCTAAGGCAGGATCTCTAAGTGTACATGGCAGCGCATAACATAATGGTAAAGTGCTAGTTATTAGCAGATTTTAACACATGATTTTATAAGGATGCACATGCTAAAACAATAAACATGGGACCTAAGAGCATGAGTTCTAATGCATGTATGAATCCTAAGCATGGTTTCTATTGCGCAATTAGGAATATAAACCTAATAATATGTTTTCTACCCTTAACAACTATAGCATGCATACTTGCCCCATCCCTTTTCACTATCCATCCCCAGAGAGTTTTTTCAATAACTATTACAAACCGTTTGCACGAATTACATAATTGAAATAATAAAAGAAGAAGTTATACAATAGGGAGCCTACTGATAGGCCCAAAATCTCCAGAATGCCTCAAATGCCATTGGTTCACAGCCTTTCACATGATCCAGGTGTGTTAGAGTTCCCTAAGGATCTCAAGGGAACCCAGGCAGTGCTCACACCCAGATTCATAACCAAATTGAGTAAGTGAAGTGTGGAAGAGCCAGCCTTAATGTGTCAGAGTGTAGAGGGAGCTCATAAGGGTCCCTAAGCAGTCACACATTAAGGGGGCAGAACCTAGACTTCTAAGAGTATATGTGAGAGTGCTTGACATAGGTTTAAAAGAGTTGAGTTGGAAACAACTTTGACAATGATTAGTTTGAAATAAGTTTTGAAAAGCAATAGAAGAGTTTGCCTTAGCGAAAACCAGTTTGAAGAAGAAAAGAAACAGGACAATTAGCAACTCAAAACCAAATAAACATACATAGTTCAAACACAAACAGGGAAAGGAGGAATTAGGGATAAGTAGTTCATATGTGAAAGCATATTTGCACACATGTTAACACCAGAGAAGTACTACAGAACTTAAATAGTCACAACAATAGTCTATCACAAAGTGTTCATGCCAGGAGCTTAACAACATTAGATTAAGGGGTGCTAAACAGAGTTACACATTAGGTTTAGGGGGAAGGGTTCAAGATCACATAGTAACTAGGTGTCACGAACACATGATTATAATGTATTGGGGTTAGGGGGTAGGGCAAAATAGTAGTAGAAAATGTAAGAAAGCAGTAGACATGCTAAATTACAGGGAAGGGGTAATAACATGGCAAAATAGGCATGTTAATTGCAAGGGAGATAGCAGAACCACAAGTAGAAGCATAAGAGAAACAAAAGGAAGTGCAATACAAATAGAGACATATTGTTTTGGATGATGTATGTTAAACTGAAACCATACTAGTAAAAATGAGAGAATAAGTGCAGAATGAGGAGTGAAGAGCAGTACAATAAAGGGAAGTACAGAAGTAGTGTGTAGAGCAGTAAAGCAGTAGAACAATAGAGCAGTAGAGCAATGTAATCACTCAGTTTTGGCTTGCAGCCGACTGAGTATCAAGTAAACAACAAGAGAAGCAAGAGAGTATGTATGTGTGTAAGAGAGAGTTGAGAACAGTGTAATTGTTCATCTTCTATGCTAAAGAGAGGGTAGAGTATTTATAGTTTGAGAACAGGCAGGAAAATAAGGTAATAAGTACTGACTTAGCACAATTATAGAAATAATACAAATCAGAATCAATTAAAGACCCAGACTCCCTTCAATTAGGGAGTCATAGTTCAAACGGATACATGTTGTATCAAATAAGGGAAAAGAATTACTTTAAGACTGATTTTACCATAATAGGATTAGTAAAAGCATGTAGCATGTAATAAGGACTAAGTACAAAATATTTTCTAGTAAGGAAAGTACAAGTTAAATAACTAACAACACATTTGTGCACATAAATAAGGTAGAATACAATTTTAATTCTGAAAGTTAGTTCAAAGAATCACGAATGAGATTGAAAATCACAGGGAATCAGCACTAAGGAAAGTATCACAAATGTAAGGAAGCAATTCGAAAAATCAGTACAGAATTACAAGGAAATACACAAAATTCAGGGAAGATATCGCAGGTCTAAGGAGATTACACAAAAATCAATATAAATTATTATGTGGACAATCAATAAAACAAATAGTCGGACCTATTAAACGAAAAATAACATGTGTTGAACAAAGTCAGAGAAACCCTAAGAACAAATTAGAGCAGGAAGCACAAGAGCATATAGAACATACATGAAACCTAGAATGTTCATGAGAGACATGCAAACACATCGCAAACAGACTCAAACTTCAAATGGAACCTAGAAGTATTAGGGTTTCTTAACAAAAATGAATCGAGCAAAAGGAAAGACTCAGGCGATGTTTAAACATGCTAAAAATCACAAAGTAATTGCTAAAAATCAGAAAGAAATCGTTTTTTGCAAAAGGGTTTTGAAACCCTAGTCTGGAAAATGAGGAAATCGTTTGAAATCAGAGAAATCTTTTGAGGAAAACAGGTAAGAACCTTAAAAGACACATAGATCCATCACAGATCTAAAAAGATCGGAGGATTTAAAGCTAGGGTTTCCAGAGAAAACCCAAAGGAGGAGAAGAGAGCTTAAAATATCACCGACCTTTTGCCGGAAAATGTAGAGATCTTACTCGAACTGCCATAGGTGGCCGGAAAACATGGCATGAGACCGGAGATGGGAGTGGACCGCCTCAGGGTCACTTGAGAGCCTCCACCGGTGACACAGGTGTGAAAGACGGATCCATAAGGTCGATGAGAGGTGGAAACTTCATGGTTTCCGGCGAGGAGATGGCCGGAGATGGGAGAGACAGAGCTCAGGAGACGAAGGTTCTAGAGAGAGTTGAGAGGATTCAGAGAGACGGGTGAGAAGTGAGACGGGGGAAAAATGAGAAAGGGTGTAGTCGTTTAGGGTTAATATGGTAAGTATTAATCTGGGCAGTTGATTTGAATTAATCAACGACTCAGATTGAACGAGGGTTGGGCCGGGTAAGATTTTAAGTTTGGGTTGGGTAATTGGGCTAGTTTATTCGGTTAGGGGTCTGGGTTAATTAGGCTAGAATTGAAATTAAAAAATGGTTAGTTGTTAAATACGCCATAAAAATAGATAAATAATTTATAAAAACGGCTCATAATTATAAAAAATGAAATTGATGCTTAATAAACTAAATTAAAATGATTAATTAGTATTAAAAATATAAATGACTAATTATTGAGTAAAAACATAGCACAAAATATATAATTAGGCCATAATTGCAAAGTCATTGCAATTATAACCAGATAGTGCCAATTTGGCTAATTTATGAAATACATTTGGTCTTAATAAGACCAAAAACGATATATTAAATCAAGGAATGCTTTTGAAATCATTTATAATGCAACTTATAATTAATTATTAGAGATAAAAATACTGGATAAATAAAAATGAATTAGTAAAAATATGAGGAAAATTATAGAAAAATACCAATTGTTATGAAAACCTAATTTTGATGGTCTATATGCAAATTTAAAATAATTTGAGGAAAAATTGGGTA